GGAGCTCACTGGCCACTGAGGACCCTCTGACAGCAGGATGCTCCCCAGCTGCTGGCCTCACTGGAGCTGCTGTTATTAAACCTTTGAATGAACAAATCAGAGGTCTGTTTACCAAGCTTGCCCCCTCGGTAACACAATTTGATCAATTCCGGAATTCTTTTTGATAGGTAATTAAAAAAGCTTTTCCTTAGGTATGGAGTGGATTGAACCATTAATTACACTTCACAGCCCTAGAGATGCAATTCTTTTGCTATTGTGAAATGTCTATGGCAAACCACAAAAACGCTTGCCTCCATAAAAGAGCTGAATAAATGAAAGCAATTTCCTCAAGACCCAGATTTCCCTGCATTTTATGGCTAAAGACTTGAGTTGCCACGGCATTAATAAGTTTGTTCTTTAGGGCTGAATTTTCTCAATACAAAAGTCCATGACCGTAACACAAAGAAATATCTTCTTTGGCTGATAGAGCCAGCAGACTGAATCCATATATTAATATTATTGTTATCACTGAACTGCCACAATGCACTCGGCATCCAGTTGCTCAAAAAAAGATCAGTTAAATTAAAGATCCTCACCAAGCAGCGACAATTTTGTGTAAAAGCCAATTTAGCCATTATGGAAGCTGCAGGATCATATTAACTTTTCTCAAAAGTATGCATAATGCATGACAGCAAGTGGTTTTGACAAGTGCCTGAGTGTGTGTGTCTGCATGTGTGGATGTGTCCTGCATGTAAAGAAAGCCCTGAAGTTATTTAAGTTGCAAAGTCAAGTGATAGAAAGATAGAAAATGCTGGATTTACAGGTGTTGCACCTGTTCAATTCAACCCCTTGCAATCCAGCCTGTGCATCAAAAAGAACAGGGGAATTGATGTTATCCTGAGAGACAATGCTTATGTCTGAAAGCATCTGGTTAGCTGACACTTCCCAATTTTCCAGCGTTTTACACTGTAAAACAAACAGCTTTTGTAAGTTAGGGGGCCTTTACCCCTGTCTTTGAATGACATTCCCTAAGGTTTTGGACTTTTTCTACTTTCTTTAACTTTGACAAAGTCAAAATCTACTGTCACATGGGGCTTCAGCACCTCTGCCTTCATGCATGACTGGGAAGGGCTGAGTCTGATCCTTTGTTACTGGAGCAGGGGCTGATATTTTGGCTAGAGCTGGCAGCAGTGGAGGCTGTTATTCCCCAAAAAGGGCAGGAGGAGGAATTCTGCCAGCCTGTTGTAGCCACACAGGGAAACCTGCTCTCCTGTGCCCAGTGCCTGCAGGGGTTTAGGTGGCTGAGCCTGGGAAGTTCAAAATCTCCACCAAAATCTCTGCTCTGTTGCTTCAGGTCTTGTTTTAACTATTCAGTCAAACATTTTTCCTTTGGCATTATGGTAAAAGAGGCATGGACAGAGCCCAGCAGATTTTACAGCATTCCCAAGGGCAGGATTCAGGACAATTCTACACCTACACATATTGGGAGGGATAGCTGCCAGGAATACAAGTTCTTATGCTTTCCTACACACAAGGTTCATTGGCATCAGGAGATTATTTTCACTTAGTGCTCAGGTTTTTCAATTATGACATTCATTTTATATATGGAAGAACATATATGGAAATTACTCCAATAACACTTCACCATCAAATAATCAGAGAACCACAGAACAAGCTCTTGTTTAGCTGTGTGCTTGCAAAACAAAAATAACCTGTTCCTTACAAGAAAAGCTTCTCTTTCTTCCATTTCATAGAGGAAATAAGATGTCTTAATGAGGGCTAGAAGTCCTGCTAATACTTTACTGCTGTGAAGAAAAATCAGGACATTAAACATTCTGAGCTCCCTGCAACATATTTTCTACAGTGGTATAGCCCTTGAAAAACTTCAAATATTATATAATTTATACATCTCTGATAGATATTTTAAAAGCTCTGATATTGAGAAGAAAAAGCTGGGATATATTTGCCATACCATGCTAGAATCAAACTGTTATTTTGTAATTATTTTGTGACTTGTAATCACAAGCAAGAAGTTTACTGCCATTGCCTCTACTTGGCACACAAACACAACATGCACAAAATTTGCTCTTGTCTCCTGTACCAACAGAAATTTGTATCCTAAAGAAAAGGTTTCTGAGCTAAAAGGAATAAAAGCAGTGGTAGCAGCAGGTAGGAAAGCAGAACAAAATGTGAGAAAAGCATCTTGAGGGCAGGAGTAGCCACCCAGGCTTTGCTGCAGTGGAAGGACAGGGGGAGGTGACTCCAATTTAGGAGCCTTCTTGGTCACGCTGGCTGACTCTGCACCTCTGTAGTGCAACACCTTTTTTAATTTGCTGCATGGGGATGAAAATACCTCCTGAAAAGCAATTATACTGCCAAATGTTTATGAACCTATACTTGTAGATGGAGTAGAAGGCTTATTCTATCAGAATAAGAGAGTGGACAATGGTAAGAGGGGAGTTCAAATGAAGTAAAATACAATATTTCTCATTAAGCTTGGAATATTACAAGTCCTGAGTTTGCATACTGTAATCATGTTTACTTTCATAAATTGTGCCTGTGCAATGTAGACTTGAGTATAAATTCTCCCAGTTCATATCTTTAATACTGGTTTGTGAAAATACATAGATTGAATATTTCAAATGAAAGGGAGAATGGGGAGAAAGCAGAGTTTCATACTTTGGGAATGCAAATTCAGATGTCTTTATTCACAGGCTGGCCATGGACTTTGTACATGGCCTTGGACATTGATTCTACCTTGCTCCTCAATTTAAAAATGAAAAGACCTCTCCTCTAAAAAAAGAACAGTTCTGGGAATGACATGAATATAAATCACAAGCAAACTGACAAGCTCACCAATGGAGAGGGGAGACCACTGGGCAAGTCTGCACACAGAAATTGGACAAAGAGTGGTAGTTCAAAGTCTGTCACAAGGTCATGGAGGTTCAGCTCTCTCCAAAACATAATTAGAGCAGAGTGTCCAAGCCAAAGAGTCAGGCTCAGCTTTGGTACATGTCCTTCTTGTGCTGGGTGCAGCTCCAGGTGGGTGCAGTACAGAGTGGAGCAGAGGGGCAGGATCCCCTCCCTTCCCTGTGCCCATGGGGAGGGATGGGCCCAGGACAGGTTTGGCTCTCTGGGCTCTGAGTGCACTGGGCCATGCTGAGTCCATGTCAGCCAGCACCCCCACGTCCTCCTCAGGGCTGCTCTCAAACCTTAAAGTGGGCAAAAGTCTCCTCATACAAAGACCTTCTGCCTTCTCCACACTCTCACTCATTTTCCATACAAATTCAGTCTGAAGGGTTTTCCTGTGACTCATCTAGAGGCAAGTGCATCAATTGCAGTTTCTAGATCTAACTAGAACCACCTCAGGAGTGTCCAAACATGACAAGGGAGGCAGTTCTCCCAGTAACACAGATATTTAATCATGTGGCATGGCCTGATGAGATATCCACAATGAGAATGTCAGAAAGCTCCTCTGAGTGACTCATCAAAGCTTCTAAGCAAAACTGTGGGAGAGCATAATCTGAAGTGAAACATCCCTGCACTGCAAATGGTCTCATGCCTCTGACAGCTGCTGAGCTGGATCTGAGCTCTGCAGCCTTTGCTTTTGCATTTCCTAGCAGAACACATCTCATTTATCCTCATCCCCCTGCACACAGCAGCAAATAACAGCCAGGTCAAACCTCACCAACCTTCATTTGGGAAACTTCACTTTGACTTTAGGATCTCTGGGCCAGATCAGATGCACAGCTCCAATATTTGCATAACTACAGACTCATCTTTCCTCAGCATAATTCCATGATGGATTTTTATGATACATCAAGAGAGGAGAGATGAGACCATTGAACAAATGTGTACCTGCACCAAATGTGATATCAAGGCAGCACATTGTTTTCTCTTTGCCTCTTCTGATACCTGAGTTTTCTTTTCTGTAGCAAGGGTTTGAGAAAACAAATGCTGAGTCAATACTTCTGAGATCAGTTTAATATGTAACACAGCTAAAGAAATTTGTAGTTAGGCTGAAATTTTGGTTTTGGCAGCTTGAACTGCCTAAAACCCTAATTCAATTGTAATCTACTCACAGACCACAGCTGTTTAGCTTGGCTAAACTTTTCTCACTATTTAATAAGATATTTTTTATTTAACATTCAGTTCTGCCTAGGAGCCCCAGTGGGTCTTTTAAAACAGAAGATTATTATTAGAAATTAATTAAGTATTCTTTTCAATTCTGTCTCCTGAGAGCAACTAGGCATTGTTGCTGATCTCCTCTGCATTAAGACATTACTGATTGTCATTCATGGGATGATAGTGTGGATGTCTCATCTGGAAAATATATAACTCCATAAATATGAAAGATTTGAAAGTTATTTAATACAAAATATAATAAATCAGTGCAAATAATAAACATGTAATTGCAATGTCAAGCATAGCACAGGCGTGTGAAGACTATAAACAGTGGAATAAAAATAGACACACATTCCAGAGACAAAAAAAACCTTACTGCAATTACAGGGCCCCGATGGATTGCACTTAGTCCATGTTTCAGCACACTGCAAACCCTGACTAAACAATTCTAAGAATATCAAATGCAATTAAAGACAACTGATTTGATAAGCTGGGGTTATTTTTAAGGGACCAGTGACTATAAAGTGTTTGTTACACTGCCCCCCTCCCACTGCACGTGACTACAAGAGGCACAGACTAAATCTGCCACCTCTGAAGGATTTTTCTAAATGAACCAAACCCAAAAAAGCACTAATATCCTGATTTAATTTTTGATCTGAGGCATTGAACATGCATATTAATGTACTACTGAGAGAATTAGCTATGCATTTAATTTGGCACTTCATGCTTGAGATGGCAGTTGGTCTATTTCATTTTCACTCAGCTCAGGGGTATCTGTACAAGTAACTGCTGTCATATTCCAGCCAGGAAGGGATGTGAAGAGAAGAATGGCACCATGGGTCAGCAGAACAACAATCAATCCCTTACTCCAAATAACAATGCAGAATTCAACTTACTTTTTAGGTCTGTAGTCAGGGATGGACCTGTCCAGTGATATCCTGTCACTGAGTTGGGCATTGTAACCATATTCTTCATACTTAGTCTCTGATTCATGGCTATCATCTCTCAGGGTAGCAGCCATTCCCCCCTGGCCCAAGCCTCCTGGACCTTCAACTAATCCCATGGGCTTTGCCAGACCTAAATGAAACAGACACAAAAATCAAATTATTAACATAAAGGGTATAGACAGAACCTCTTCTGTGACACAGAATGTTTTCAGATAAATGAGATCTGAACTCCCAGCTCTTAAGCCCTCATGGCTCTGTGGAAATTATCCTCAGCTTCTCAAACCAAAGTCCAAATCAACACATCTTGTAGTATCTGTGCATAATGAGCAAACTATAAAGAATCAATTAGCAGCTTTCACGATTCCTTCTTTTTTCTAAAATGGCTAATTATTGTTACGATAATTAAGAAAAAATTTTCCCCACTAGAACAGAAGGGTTTCCCCGTGTAGCCCATTAAAGCTTCACTCATTTTAAGGGAGAGATGTTGAATTTCTACCACATGTGTGTGTGCCAGTTTAACTCCACATTCGTGTCAGTTCTGGTACCTGCTCTGTGACTCCAGAACCTCTGCAGCCCTGGTCCAGGCTTGGTTCCTGTGCTGGGGACACAGCTATGGACTGGCCACCAGCTTCTGCTGGGTAGGAAATACAGGATAAATCTGATATTCACTGCCTGAGTCAACAGATGGATCCTTTGGACTCAAATACACACCCTGCCCAGCCTGTTGCCACAAAGATGTGCTAAAACTGTTTTAATAGAGCTGACACTCCACCTGGGAATCGCTCCAGTTTTCCTCTGCACTTCACATCTGACAAATGAAATATGTAAGGTACTCAGCTCTGTAGAGCTCACAGCAGCAGAAAGTTTGGGCACTCAGTAAGTGCTGAGAAATCAGCCAATTAACAATGCATTTACAGGTTTCATTCACTGGTCAACTCAAAAATAAAAATAAAACAAAACTAAACCAACATAAAAATGCTCGTATGATCACATCACCAGGAACCTCTTCCATGGCAACAGGCATTTAATTTGGTGCTGAATCCTCATAAATAAGCTCCTCAAATATCCTGTGTTTAATGTCAAAGCTTTCCTTTCCCAAAGGCTCACTATCAACAAGTCATTATAAGTGATAAATTTATTTATAATAACCCTGGGAACACCATACAGGAATGTGTGACTCTCCCCCAAATCATTTATGACACCAAGTAAAGCAATTAGAGCTTGACCTGCCCAACATTTTTCAAATCAAGACTTTTTCAAGAGGAAAATGCCATTATTTCAACTAAATGATTAAAAAGAAAGAAACTGTCAGCATTTGGTAGCAACAAACACACATGGCAGTACAAACGTGGGACTGCTTCTCCAAGTCCCGGTAAGGAGGGCAGTTCAGACCCTTGGGAAGGAATTGTCTTTCACTTCACTGCAAACAATGTTTTACTTGTTACAGCTCCATCAGCATCACTGTTTAATGACAGCACAGCCCAGAGAATGAACCAGCCTGGTTCATTACTGACCTGAAAGAGTAAAATTTTGCATTTTCTCCTGCAGTGCTTATGACGAAATCCTGTGCTGAGGTCAAGTGCAACAATACAAACACTCACCAATTAATATAAAAGGAATTCTGCTACTGAATTTCAGACACTGCTGACAGAAATAGATAAATACTGCAATCAGTGGTGCTGAGTCAGGACAGATCTTGCTTGTGTTTGTGTCTTTGATGCCTTCATGCTCTTCATCACCATGCACTGAAACATGACTAAAACTCAAGACTAGTCTGGATTTCAAACCAGAGAAATTCCTCTAGCTAATTAAGTGAAGCACTTCAATCCATGTTCAATATTCTGAAAACATTTTAGGGAGCTTCATTTTAAAGAAAATGGTAACATTTGTCCTTTTTGTTCCAATTTAGAATGAGAGGCTACTTGGCACTTTGACTTTCCTTTGGAAAAATTTGAACAGAGGGCCCTGCATGCCTGGCCTGACAATGATTCCTTGCTTGAGTAATTACAGAAATTACATGTCTGAGACTCCACATCTCTCCCCACTCAAAAGGAAAAACAGAGCAGCCTAATCTTCCTGCATGATACAGTCTTAGACTTAACAGACACCACCTGCAGTGATGCTGCAAGCTCTGCCTGACATGCCCAATATATGGAATCTAAAAGGGACTCAGTTTCTGAGAAAAGTCAGCAGTTCCCTCCAAAAAAAGGAGTCAAATTAAACACTTTAAAAGTCAAAACCCAGAAAACTTGACAAAACCTATGTCCTTGAAAGACCATAATGTGGAAATTCATTTGATGTTCATGTGGAATCATCTGGGCTAGGTTCTGATATAACATCAAAGCAAATTGAAGATGACTTCATTAAAATTAACTGACCTGCTTTAATGAAAGGGTCTCCAAGATGTGGTGTGCTCATTTGACTTGAAGCAACAATCTAATTCCAGTGGTTGAAAACTTTATTCTTCATACTATATTCTCTTGCAGTTTATGGAACAAAACACTTGAGTCTTTATGGCACAAGTAATGTGAGAAGGAAACTTTCACCCCATAGGAAGCATCAAGCACTTGGCTATTTTATTTCTGAGAGAATTGCTTAGACAGCCTGCCAAACCATCCACGGGGACAATTATTTCATATACCTTTGTCTAAATCTGATATTCCAGCTCTTTGTGCTGCTGATCTGATCTTGTTGGGGAAAGGAGTCATCATTTGTCTGACTTCCTCTCAGAGCATATTGCTATGAGCTTTTTTCTCCAGCTACCACATTGCAGCTTAGTCTTACTGACAGTTATCCCAGTAATGCAGTAACATTGACCATAAAGCAGCAATTAAATAAATGATATCACATTGCTGCCTTCTGCAAAAAGAGCACCAAAGTGTCTCTGGAAGTTTTTAGGAACAATGAATATACTGTATTTTATCTATGTGCATGTGTGTGAGAGGCAGCAATTACAGGCAATGTTCCTCAATGCATGGTTGGTTAGCCAGACCATGCCTCACATATTTGCATTGCATTTTCCACCTCAAAGTTGATTTGCTGCTGCTTCAGCAATTGTCTCCTCAACAGAGAGCTTCCTCCCATCACTTTCTGTGTCACAGTGATGACTTGCTAACCCCCAAATCCACAGTTACTGCACTGGTCAGCCTTAAAAAAAAAAAAAAAAAAAAAAAAGACACACAGAAGTGGAGTTTCAGATCAGCAGCATCTTCACAAAAATAGGTTGGTTTCAAGTGGGATCCCAGCCTGGCTGAAGCAGAGCCTGGTGAACACCCCCCAGCACATCCTCCAGGCCCTCATCTGAGGGCACTTTTCTGTTTTCTTCTTGTTTTGAAGCTCATTGCAGACTTCCAGCTCCTTCTCTTACCTCTGGGTTACTCACCTGCAGCCCTAACTCACACCCATTTTTCCACAGCATCAGAAGCCAACGAGGGCAAGGCCCAGAGCCAGAGCCAAGGATTGAGATCATGGGGCCAGCTCTGAAATGGGGATGTGCACAAAGGGGATGCCCAGTGAGCAGCTGTTTTTCAAGCTCTCTTTTCTTTAAATTTTCTAGACTAAAAATATCTGCAGCTGATACACTGGGAATGGTCATGGACTGTTCCATGCTGCAGATGACAATGAGGTCACAAATAATTAGTGTCTGTCATTCATTTCAAATTTATTGCTCTCACTGCAGAGATTTCTGTGTAGGACAGAAATTGTTAGGAGAATGGAGAGCAGAACAAGCCAGCCTTAGTTCCTTAACCAGATTAATTACTCCACAGTTTGCATCATTTTCTAGGAAGAAAAGAGATCTTCTATTTTTCATCATAAACCCTGTCACAATGGGAAAAGTACTAAGGAGATTTATATGAGAAACTATGGCAAAATCTAGATCAGATTATGGCTGTGATTATTGTACTATAATTTTTTTTCTTATTTGCAACACAATTATAGGCAGCTGTAAATTAGGTTCAGCCAAGGCTCTCAGATAAAATTAAACTTCTGACAAATCAAAATAAAAATAAGTAATTGAAAATAATAACAGAATGTCAGAACAGTGAGAGAACTGCTGCAAAATTTCCAAAATGCCCTTGCTGGCCTGTCTCAGCCCCAGCTTGAGAAGGACTCCAAAGCCAGACTCCTTGGCTTTATCTACACTTCCATCATTTGCACATTTGAATAGCTGCAGAAAAGTATTTCAGTTTCTAGCACCTTAAAAGGAGGGGATAAAACATTTCCTTCTAAAACAGCTGAGATAGATAGATAGATAGATAGATAGATAGATAGATAGATCAAAAAACCTGACACAGTCACCCAGTAATTCTACCTGTGACTCATGAAACACTTAAACAGGAAACATAAAACTCATCAGAAAACAGTTGTTTCCTTCCTTCTTCAATTATTATTTCTCACTTGAAAATATGACTGCATACTATGTAAAGCAGTAAAAATATTTGGTTCCTAGCTTAAACAAACAACAACAAAAAAAATTAGGGACAATATAAACTCCACATAGATTGACAAAGTTGACTTTTAGCATTTCCAGTTACAGCTTTGCAAAGAAAAGGAAAAGGTTCAGAGATTCTGGAATAGGTTCAGTGACAGCTTAAACAAGACTCAGCTTACAATGTCTTTTAAAGCTATTTTTACATAAACCCAAACAGTTTAGAGGCAGGAATTAAAGGAGTAGCAACTATTGAATCAGTCCCAATGCTTCCACCTTGAGTTACTGTATTGTGCTAATTTTGTGATCTCGTTCTGCTGCAGCTAGAAGCTTCAGCTGAAGGTTACAGCCTCAAAGAATGGCATATCTGGAGGCATGGAGGGAAGCACTGATCTTCCTCCTTCAGGAGCTGCATGTCAGAGGGAAGCAGGTGCACAAGGAAAGCAGCTGGTTGGAGGAGGAGGAGGAAAAGTACAGCACAGGTGAGCCATTCAACACTAAGCTAAAGGTCTCAGCTCACCAGCTGTTTATAACTTCATTTTAGTGATCCCTAAAAATAACTATTAGCTGATGATTTCTAAAAGAACATGCTCAAACCAGAGAAAGGCTCTCTGGTGTAAGCAGCCCCTTTTCTTTCACACACACCCAGCACAGCCCCACTGGCATCAATTCAGTGAATGCACTGGCAGTTCACTGCACCA